GATGCACCTTTTTCAACATGTCTGAAACAGCATGCCATACCACAGAAATGAGCAGGAGTCTAGGTCAGGAGGTGATTGGCAAGCATCTGTTGGGGCTGACAAGGTGGCTCAGTGATTAGAAGCACTAGCTGATCTTTAAGAAGACCGGGGTTCGATTCCCAGCACCCACAAGGTATCTCAAACCATCTGTTACTCTGGTTTCAGGGAATCTCTGTCTTCTTCTGGCCTCTGAGGGACTGCATGCATGTGGTGCACTGACAAAAATGCTCATACACATAAAGATGAAAGCAAACACTCTTTAAAAACAAAAATAGGTGCTGTCCTTTAAGCTGTTGTGTTTACGACTGTCACTTTGGATTGAGTTCCGCTGAAGAGTCAGGCCTATTTTTTTTTTCTAATCTAAGATAATGCTTTCTCTTAATCACTGTTAAGTGAATGCTGGAAAATTTGAAAACATTTCAGCAGGCTTAATTTCTACCCGTGATCATTTTCAACTTTGTCTGAGTCTATGTGTATGGATTGATCTTGGCATTATGGTATGCGTAGTCAGGTACAACTGTACCGATTGTCTGAAGGCACCCCAAGCTGATCATTGGCTCTTAGATGTCTAGAAAACTACAAATACATACACATTTGAAAACCAAGAGTTTTGCAGTGGGACAGAGGCCCCAGGAGCGACTCTGATATCAGTGAATGAGAACACAGATGCATTTTGGCTGGGATGAAGCCGGTTTTGTTCTGGTCAGTCTATATCCCTCTTCTTTTGACTTAAATCATCTTGATCTTGCTGATCCATGCTTCTGGAAGTCCCCCTCAAATCTGTACTCCATGGAACCAGCTGTCCCTCTTCAGTTTTATAGCACCCTGCATCTAGCTTTCATACATCACAGACAGATTGTTCTGGAGCACTAGGCATTTGGAAAAGAGCATCAGGAGATCGCCTAGCCCATTTGTATGCTAGAAACTACTTGTTACAAAAATCTCTCTTTCCCTGCAGTTCTTAGGTGAGCCTATTGATGAACCCCCTTGTTTACAAGTTCCATAAGGAAACTAGACACAGACCTTCCCAACTTTTCTTAGTTTCAGAAATTGAACCATCTGTCCAGACTACAAATCTGAACAAACTATTTGATAATTTAATCAAACTTCAGTCAGCTTGCTTTCTTCAGGCTCTGATCTTTGAATTACCTTTGAGTTTAAATGATTTTTTTTAAAAAAATAATGTAATCAAGCCCTGGGAGACAAAAGAACTTCTTAGAGTTGACTCCCCATAACAAGGGAGACTTCCCCAACTTGCCTCCTCCAACACCTGGCTTTTTATTCTCCTTTGCTTGGCAGCCACAAAGATGCTTTTGTCCTGATCTGACATGCTTGTCTTGTTCACCTTGCAACAGTGCCCTTGCTTCCATTGCAATATTTCCAGATGAATCTCTGTCTCTAACTCTGCTTTTGCTGTTTGACGCATGAAAATGATTGCCATTCTCATCGATTCCCAGGCTAATTATTTTTTTTGTCCATTCCTATGTTCTAATTTTCCTGATCCTGAAATCTATTTACTGTTGCACTGCACTTATCATCGTTACAAATCTAAATGTAGAAGGATCTCAGGGACAAGATGGTTTTGTCACCATGGAAACCTTTGTGTAGCCTGCAATACTAGAGACATGTTAGTTTTGTAACTTTCCTGAACTATGAGAAATCTGTAGAACTTCATTAGTGGATGCTGACACGAACTGTGGAAAGCTAGAGCCCGATGACAGTATTTGTGGTGGGGTGGGGCGGGGATGAGGGTGATTTCAAATCTGCACACTAAACCTTCTGAAGCATGGGTTTAATAACTGACTTTTTAGTCTTGGCTGCTGGGTTTTACAGATGGGCTTGAGAGAAGTTCAAGTTGTTTACCTCATCGACTTTGTGTTGCTTACGAATCAGTGAGAAGAAAACCATTGGAATATTATCTGTACCTAGATTAAGTACAAGTAAAACCACGCCTCAGATGGACAGGCAGATCCACTCAGGCTGCCTGTCACTCTGGACAGGCTATACATTTCTGCTATGGTAGCTCCTGTTCTCCTACTCTGTGGTAGCTGGCGTGTTTCCATCCTAAAGCCTCTGTTTCTTATCTGAAAATATTCCCACAGAACATTTCCAGTCAAATCTGAGAACTTCATAATCTGAATGGGCAAAATGGAAAACACGTTGTGCCAGGGAAATGGCTGCAGTATGGCAGCCAGGAGACCTCAGCTGTCATACCGGGGGGTGTCATTTATTTATGGTGAGCTTCAGGAGGGCTCTTAGCCTCTCTATTTCTTTATGATAATCAATGCATGCATGTGTGTGTAGGTGCATGGAAGTGTGCTTGTAGGCATGTATGGGTGTGTGTAGGTATGTGTGTTTGTGCATGTATAGGTGTGAGTGTGTTTTGGTATGTTCATGTGTGTGTGTAGGTCTATGTGCGTATGTGTGTGTGGGTATACATATGTAGGTGTAAGTGTAGGTATGTGTATGTGTGCGTGTGTAACCCATAGAGGCCAGAGGCATTTGGTCCCCCAAAAGGCAGTTATTGGTAGTCAAGAGCCACCAGAGTGCTGAGAAATGAACTTGGGTCCTCTGAAAGGGCAGCAAAGTGCTCTTAACTGCTGAGCTATCTCTCCAGTCCCATAGTATAATTATTTGTTGATTCACATGCTCTTACTAAGAACAAAAAGAGATTGTGCATGGTAATAAGCATTTATTAATGCTTAAATAATATTACTTATTTTGCATGAGCATCTGATATTTCCAGTAAATTCTCAGCTACATAAAAAAGATCTTACAGAATGCTAACTGCCTAAGATAGTAGCAAATCCATTGCAGTTGCTTACTACTTCTCAATGTGTGACTTGTTGTGCCTTCCTGTAAGAAATACTAAAATAAATGCCACAGATAATTTAACAAACATTTATTGTGTGAAATTTATTGTGCTAGATCCCTTAAGAAATACAAAATGGATCCGACATGAAATCTGCCCTTTAGGCACTTACAGTCTACCAGGGGATATCAGAAAACGTAACAAGATAGAAGGTCTGAGAGCCCTAAAGAAGTACAGAAACAGTGTTCTAAGAGGTCACAGGAGAAATTAATTTTAGCTCAGAAAATCATGGAAAACTTCATCAAGATGAAGTTCATGTTTCACATGACGTATAAGTGAAATTTAGACACGTGGACAGAGCAAAGACTTCTGGTGCAAGGGCGCAAAGACCCTGGAAGGTTCTGAGTACAATGAGCTGGAAAGGAACTGCCCAAGATTGGATGGTTGTCCCCAGCTAAGGAGACAGCTGCCACTCAGCCTTGAAGATGTGTTTGTGTGTACGCCCATAGGTGTGTGAGAGAGTGGGGCAGAACTGAAAAGGAAAAGACTAGAATGAGGCTTCCCGAACTTAGGATTCGTAAGTACTTTTCAGCCCGTGTTCTTAAAATATATATTAAACAAAAAAACAGAAAAATGACCCATGCTGATAACTTGGCATACCTCCTAGCCAACCCAAAATTCCAGCCCCAAATATTTCGGCAAGCAATTTCTGATTAACAGCCATGAAATATTGGCTTGCTAGAAATGTAAGGGTTTATTTAGGACAGTAAGTATTTAAAAGAAATATTAATCTAATGTGTTGAATTTACATATTTTTAAACTTATTGAATTCATATTTTGAAACAGCTGACTAATGCAATGTGTTTCAAAAACACTGAAGTTTTACAAATGGGAGTGAGTGACTTTCTATGCAGTCTTCATTCATAGCTATAGATTTCTGAGATGGAGCAGAGAATTATGGGTTTTAATGTGTGTACACACACAATGAGACATGTGTGTGCATACGTCAGAGAAAGATGTAGGGCAGGGTGAAAGGAAGAAGAGAGAGTCAGAGAAGGGGGATGCTTTATAGAATATTCCTTCTCACCAAAAAAGTCATCTTATAAATTCAATAGGACTATACAATTCTATTATAATTAGCATTTAATTTACTGAAAAATCTTTATGTTATACTCCTTTTTGCATAATGATACCACTTTTATCTTTAAAACCTGATTAAAAATATACTTTTAACACCTTGATACTGAGAACATTTTCAGCACGGGACAGGGGTTCTACCTGAGCTGTGCAGTTAGGGCTCCAGCCCGGAGGTGCACTTGAAGGCTGAAGCACCGTTGTCTCTTCCTCTCAACTTGAGTGAGTGCCAAGGTCACCCAGGGTCCCTCAAGGTAGCTAAGGTTGCCAGGAGAAGGAACTGATTGACGTGAGTTCCATCACAGACCACAGAGCTCAGGTTTAACTAAATGCTAATCAAATTAAGCATTCTAACAATGCTTCGGACTGTAAGTTACACACTCTCCAGCCACCCAAAGGCCCTGGCAATGCTGAATTCTTCCTTGGCCTTCCTTGAACACGTGTCTGAGCAAGCAAGAAACATCACTATGAGAGGGCACTGGGAACTACTTGTGCAGCTGGCTCCTCTCAGGCTCCTTACTTTCAAACCGGAGACAATTGCATCCATTCTCCTTCTCCGTATATGCAGAGCAGACATTTAAGGTCCTGAATAAGTTCATTGATGTTTATGCTAGAAAGAGCTCCCATAGAAATAGTTTTCTGTGGAACATGCAGCAGACTGAATCACCTCACACGCTTCCCCTGGGTCATTTTCTGTTTAGTAAACTACTGTTTTCAGCCACCCGTCATTTTGCCACAAGACAGAAAAGAATGTAAAGTTATGAAGAGGATGATGGTGGCGGATTCCTGACAAGTCCCTTTTACACGGTACATTGTTCCAAAGGGCGTTTAAGGAGGAAACACAGAAGCACTAAGCAAACCTATTATTACATTGAGAAATCATTAGGCTCAAAGGAGTGATAATGGTATGCTGTTAAAACTCTGAATACATTTTCAGTGTCGGTATTGAAAAAGAAAACTTTATAAATATGTAAATTTCTGTTCAACAAATCCAAAATAAAATGCACTAAAAAACTGATATGTAGACAAAAGTTTATTTACACCATACAACATTTTAAATATTTTATACACAGCTGCAGCAGAGAAAGCTACTCAGAGCCTTCTAGAGAAAACTGCAATAATAAAGATGTGAAATATATTATTCATATAAAAGTGAGATTATTACTTTATTGCATTTAAAGCAATGAAGAATGTAGCTCAACAAACATTCATTTAATGACAAAAACTTTTGCTTTTATATTATAAAGTAAAAAGTGTAGTAATGGCCAAACAGACTGTTATAAACTTTAAAAACTGCATAAATATATACATTGTGCTTCATGGTGAAGTTTTCTGAAAACTAAACCACATGAAGCTGTTACAACATGAATCGTTGCTTGAGGTTTATCTATAAAGATTGCCTTACAAATCCATTCCACGGGTACTTACAACACGGGGTGGTGAGAACTGTACACTTGGCCGTCTCTCCACTAGCCTGACCAGTGAGAAATTACCATACGGAAACACTGATGCTGGCACAGGAAGGCCCTGACAGAGAAGAGTCACACTGTCCTGGTGGAAACGTCAGGCTTCCCAAGTCTCAGTGTCAGTGTATCTGCTTGTGTCTCCACCTCAGTGCGCTTTGATTGTGTTACACTTCTGTTTGAAAGTCACCCTCTTGCACATCCAGAGGCAAATTCAGACATTTCTCCCACTCTGCAGGCCTCAGCTCCAGAGCATCCTTTGTCTCCGAGTCTAGGACATTGATTGTGGTGTAATGTGGGTATTCGCTGGGGGCCTTGAAAGTGTCCCATGGGTTCTTGTTTGCTGCAGGGTTCTCCTGTTGAGGAGAAAAACAAATCTGTTTATTTGATTAGCAATTATTGCCGTTTACAGGATTCAGAGATGGTCAACGATTGAGGGGAGTGGCCAACTGTAGTTTCAGTTTAAATTTTCTCTTACAGGACAAAGTGAAGAATACACTTCTAAGTTATCACATAGACTTAAGGCACTGAAAGATGTGAACAGTACCGTGGAAAGCAAAGCAGATGATATGTCTCAATGTCATTATGACTGCTCAAAGAAAGATGAAGGAGAGTGAAGGTACTGGTCAGATTAAATGGAGAAAATCTGAAGACTGAGGCAGAAATTTAGTGTCTCAGGACATTCTATTTAATGCTAAACCTAGTAGTCGTTTACTGAAAAAAAAAGAAGCCATTCTTTTCTTCAATAAATTAGCATATTTAAAACTCATGTGTTGTTATATTTTCTTGCTTTGTGGATTTTGGATGCTGATTCCCCATGATACTCTCTGTGATTGGATGACATACTCATCATTCTTCTTTTTAAAGATCACAGTTGTATGGTAAATGTATCCAGAAATATGGAAGAGGGGGGCTTTGAACATGTGTCTAGCCACTGATCCTCAGTGTGCTTTAGTGTGCGTGCCTGCACAGCTGCCATCTTGTGGAGCTCAGTAAGTCCATGAACCGACTTTTGCAGCAAATAGCCAAATACCTGATACTCAAGGATTCACTCATGAATTTGATTTATTTGAAATCAAATCAATGCCATTGAACTATTTCTGTAAGAGGGGGCAGTTTGAATGGTGCAGAGCAAGCTGAATATCATCAGTGAACAAGATGGAAATCATGACTGAACACTCCTTAGAAGAAAATTCAACCCAAGCATGGAAACAGCCAGCCGTTAACTTGAAGGACACCAAATTAAGTAGAGCATTGATTAAAGCTGAATTTATTTATTGTTGCAAGAGGAGATGTCAAGTGTAGGCTGTCATTTTTACACTAATCCAGGTTTTAATTGGATACAGACTTCATTTAAATTTATCATTATTCATGAGAGACAACTGACCTTGGCTTCACTAAATCATTCCCTTATACACAGTTCCTTTCCTCAGCTCTTTTTATCTTCTATTAGCCCTTGAATTCATTCTCCAGTATTATTAAGATTGTTCGAAACTTTGTTCTCACTTAGTAAAACACTCTACTTGTCTCATGTCTTATCCTCCTCCCCAAATCTGGTCTCTAATTCGTTATAGTCAATTACTAAGGGGAGCACAAAATTTTTACTTGGTGTTTATATTGGTTCCACTCAGTACTTCAAATCTCATATCAAGTTATATACAAGAGACATTGTCTATAGAAATACTTATATCTATAAACTAAATCCTAAAATTCTGAGTACATTAGAGGTTTTAGGGAATTAGTCTTATTATGAGGAAATGAAAGACTAATAACTAATAATAAAGACCCAATGAGGAATGAACCTTTAGAAAAGGTAAAGGAGATTATTCAGCTTTACATGCTAAAAATGTCATGCCTCAGCCCTCTTTCCTTCTCGCTCTGTTTCCTTCAACCAATACCCTGTACTGACTGCTTTTCCTGGCTGCTATATTAGGTCCAAAGGAGGAAATAACAAATTCTATCTGGAAACTCACAGTGGTCCACTGGGAACCCAAGATTTAAAGTCTGATACACACAGGTCCACATACCAGTTCCCTCCTGCAATATGAATGTGGTTTTGAGCAATGTATTCACTCTACCTAAATCCTAATATTTGAACACTTGCATAACAGAGATAGGCTTTGTAGTGTATGACAAAGATGGTAAGGTCATGTGTGAATCAAACCTTCTTTGTGTATTTGAAAACAGTTTTTAAGAGTCAGCGGGGAATTAAATCTGTGCTTATTATTTATTAAGTATATTTATTATAGAAGGTGATTATACTCAAATAAAAGTTACACACTTCGAGTTCATGTATATTATTTCACAGAGGAATGGTTCTGCAAAGCAAATAATGTATGTTGATCATAAATGCTCCTTCTACGATCTTCCTGTTTTCCTGTTTTATCCCTATCATCCTTGTTTATTTCACATCTGTCCCAGTAAAAGTAATATGGGCGATAAAAGGGACGGCTTCTGTTTGTGTGGAGCACATGGTCTTTTCTTAGAAAAGTGGCTTTCAAGCTGGCAGGCAGCACTGGCTATGGACACACATGTAATTGAGGCTGGGTGGTGGTACAGAGTATCAAAATCAGAATGTAGAGATGGCAAGCTTTGGTAATCGTCATTTTTATTCATTCTAGTTGGCATGAAAAAAAGTAGCAGAAACAAAACACGCAGAAAATGAAGAGAAACCAGAGAATGAGGATCCTGGTGTGCCAAATTCCTTAACTTGGAATTTATTATGTAGGCAGAAAGTCTGGACATGCTGTGGGTCACCTGAACCACCAAGCATCAATGGAAAGGGTCATCACTATGGATTCTACTGCAGCTGGTCCAGAGTGAACCCATCTATTTAAGACAGGAGCAGTGTTTAAAAGGGTTTTCTGGAACTTTTTACTACAATGGAAAATCCAATTAGCCCAACTCTGACAGTTATTCAAAATGTTGGTTCATTTGCTATTATGTTTGGAACAGACGGGCCCCTCTTCCCCATTTAAAAAATATGCTAATGGTTCAAGCACATAAACTAAAGTCACCAAGTTTAACTATTGGCAAAATATCTAGATACCAATTGCATAAAGTTATTTCTCAGCATATGATCAACTGAATTTCCATGAAGTTCAGTATTAATTTATAAATTGGCTTTCTTACTCACTTCTGTTACTATCCTGAGTCACTGCCGGCTTAACCCCGTTCTCACCCTCATTCATCAATACGTAGTAGTCCCTTCAACCAGAAGTTACCTACCTGTCCTTCCTTGTGGAATGGTTGCAGCACTCAGCAGCCAAAGCAAACAGACCTGGTACAAGAAGGCAATGAGCTAGTGGCCAGTGGCCAGGGTCATCTTCCCGTGTGATGGGTCTGGCAATGGGGGTGGTATATAAACTCTCCTAAGAGAAAGGGCCTCATATACTCCATGCTTCAAGTGATTGCTAAATTGTGAAATAGCTGAAAGGGATCATTTAATTCTACAGAGACAGAGAGAGAGAGAGAGAGAGAGAGATAGAGAGAGAGAGAGAGAGCGAGCTACATAGGCTGGGAGAGGCTTCAATGGAGGCCTGACTATAATGATATGAAATGATGCAACCTGTAGAAGTTCCTGAGTTTGTACTGTTGTTTGACTTCTGAGTTCAAGGGCAGGAGGAGCAGAGAGTTAAAGGGAGTGTTAAAGCCTAGTAATTACAGAACCACTGTAAGCCAACATACACAGAGCTCCCAAACACACTAACTTGGTGTCGGGACACATCAGTAAGAGCTGTGCTAAGTGATCAAGAGAATTCACAACCATCCAAGCACGCAGGCAGCTCGAACATTCCCAACAGTCAATGGAACCAGGAATGGCCTAAAGGTCCAGTAGGTTTAAGTTCCTTCATCTCTCTTTTCTAGTTTGTTCCTTCTCCATTACTGTCATCCTTTCTTTTGCTTCCTTCATTTGCCAACCTACTCTTGTTTGGAGACAAAGCAAAAGAGAGGATGACTCTTCTAAATGATCAGGAATCCTTAGAAGCTGCTTGAAGGAAAGAGGATCTTGACTAAATTGTGAAACCAGTCGGGGTAAAAGAGTTTCATCTTAGGATCGTCTAGAGTCACCCACTGCTTTATTGGGTGTTGTATATACCTTCCTGCCTAGAAGTAAGAAAATGGACTAAATTATATTTCGGTGTCCTTCTGGTCCCACCTGTTCTGCATAATGACCATCATTGGCAGTGGTGGGCAGCTGTTGTCAAACAGCAGCCTCAAGACAGAAAAACTGAGACCTCCTGAAAATGTCGTTCACTTTCCAATTAGGCAGTTCTTCATTAGCAATGTATCCCTACAAATTATGTGACTGAATTAAGGATAATGAACTCAATTGCGTGTTTGTTATTAATCAGGGCTGAATAAAGGATCTTTTTTTTCTATTCTTGGATATTTGGGACAATAGTCAAGCAGCAATAACGACTGTATCCTTCCCCGCGCCCAGATGGTAAATATTTATAAATCTCTTCTGGAAAAGGTGCACTACAACAGAGATGTGGTGTAATTAGCAGACTATTTTGGTTGTTAGGAAACTGAGACACAGACATTTGTGCCATTAATGATTTAATACCCAGACCAGTTGTTGTCGTAATTTACACAACAAGGGGAAATTACAATCATATTATAGCAGTCAGTCAGCTGTAGCTGTTGCATAAGCCTTCCAGACTTGTAAACACAACCTCTACTTTAAAAAAAAAAAAAAAACGATGTTTCAATGTTTCTTCATTTTATTTTCATGTTAGCTTTCGATATTCCAAAATGAGCAGCTAATGTGTTTAGTCTAATCTCAGGGGTGTCACTTTCGTTTGCTGCTAGCTGAAAATTGATGATTTCATAATGGAGGAGTAGGAAAGAATTACAGAACATGTAATAGTATACATATATGTCTGGCATTGTGTCAGAGTTGTTAAAAATCGACTGAGTTATTGTTGCTGAGAAATAAATTCATACTTGCCATTTACCAGTAACTTACCGTGACCAGGAATGTATAAGTACTAGGAGAAATGAAGAAAACTTATGAGGATATATGTGTGCTTCATCCTTTAGTTTTTCATACACTAATTTCATTAGCCAGTTGGTCAGACTAAGACTCATAAGATGCATGTGGAGGAATCACTAGAAGATGATCAAACACCATGCTATTCATATGTAGAGATTAGAAATAAAATAGGTAAAGTAATATGCATTATATCTTTCATCTATCTATGAACATCTATTTTTCTTATCTATCTGTCTATCTATCATCTATCTATCTATCTGTCATCTATCTATCTATCTATCTCATCATCTACCTCAATCCATCTGTACATTGATCATTTATCTATTACTCTTTGGTAAAGAGCTACCCATGGGCTGCATTGCCTGGGCAAGGAGCATCACAAGTGAGCTGAAGAGCTTGTGGGAGGCAGCAGAGCCAGTCTACTTCAGTGCCCTCACCTTTGCTTTTGGGATGTCGCGAGGACTGAAGCGAGTCCATACCATCCATTGCCACTTTCTGTGTCCCATGTAAGTAGAGGAAGTCAAGCCTTAGGAGCAAAGACCTGCAAGACGTGCTCCAGCTCAGGGAGTTCATGGCTGTGTTTTCAAGTAGTTGGAATTTCTAGAGTCCTGGCACAGTACACTTACCGGTGAGGATGAAGCCTTCTCTGAAGCAATGATTGTGCCGTGTGCTGAGTCACGGCATAGAGTTAATTTCATGGAGTCCTCTACTAAGATGGTAGTGGTATGGATGAATGAGAAGGAAATGGTTACAACCAACAACCCAAGTTCCTGATATTGGCGTTTATCCAAAACTCTCATCCCTAAACAAATTTTTTATTTATGCCAGTATTATGTTTTGTGGCCTTAAAATGGCAGGCATTAGAATAACAATAGGAAAATTTAGCAAACTATTTGGCGATTTGAATTAACTGAATTTTAATTAGTGGGAAAATGGCCATATGAAACTGACCTGTCGTTTACATATAACTAATCCTAATTAAAGCTTATCAGGGAGGATCTTTGAAATTAGAACAAAACACCTGAAGATTCTTGTCATTCCTTCTAAGTCTCTTGGTCGCTTTTCCCAAGTGCATTTTGGGCTTATTCATTTTCCTATGTGTCCTAGGTTTTTTTGTTTGTTGGTTGGTTTTGTTTGTCTGTTTGTTGCTTTGCTTTGTTCGTTTATTTTATAGTTGTCCTGGAGGGTAAGGGACACAGCTGGCCTCACCTGTGGCCCAGCCTGACTGTGGATGCAGAATATACTCACCATACTGCTTGTATTTGGTATGTCCCGAAATCTGTCCAAAGTCTGAAACTTCTGATTGAGTTCCTGAAACAACTCCATGTGTCTCTTCCTCGTGTGCATGACCTTCTGCAAGAGAGAACAGGGCGGCTTGCATTCCTAATGTGACTCACATGTTCTTAAAAGTTGTCTAGTACTAAGGGAAGCTAAGCCAGGCAGGAGCCAGGAGTCCCCAAAGACACCACCTATGCAAATGACATGTCCCACATCCTTTTTCCTATTCCTGTTTCTTTCTGAAAATAAAGGGCTTTTTCCTTCCTTTCACAAGATTACAAAAAAAATAAGTTTCTTCTTCTCATTAAGAGACAGTCATCATTCTTGTGTAAGATTTTCATCCCTTAAAAGTGAAGTCTGTTCTACAAAAATTGTTGCAGTGATTTTAAAATGTTAAAAATTTGGACTTTGTGAAGCTCACGAGTTCTTGATGTTTGTCCTGGGAAATATTACTTCTTTATGTCTTACTTCTATAAACAGTGCAAACATAGCTTGCTGCACTAAAGGGGGAGCATCATCCCAGGCCCCGCTGTTAATGCTGACTCTCAGGTCTGAAGCGCCCAAAAGATATGTGCGATCTAAGACCGTGCACTCTCCATGCGAATAACCGCTGAGCTTTGCAGAAGAGAAATCTGGCCCATAGGTTTCATATACTTGTTTACCAGATGGTGCAGAATCTTAGCAGTCATGGTTCGGGGCACACATTGTGTGGCCGATGAGCCATTAAAGTCCCAGGTATAGTTACTTGCCTTTCTTTCAACTTCATTATAACCCAACAACGGGCTTGTAAGTAAAAATGATCTTGGGGCATTTGGGGTATTTGAATATTTTCCTATTATAAAACATTTAAAGGGCACTAGTAAAAAAGTCAGAGAATAAATTCTCTGTATTTACAGGTGATATTCTGTGTGATGTTGATTTTCAAAAGTTACAAATCAGCATCTTGGTCATTCTCCAGGACTCTGCAGTCATGTTTAAGAGTTTACAGAATTTTCAAACCTACACATCTGAACACCATTTGCGTATGTGGTTTGAAGGAGGCTGCTAGGTCTTATGTCTGGGCTCTTATTTTAACTTTTGGCTCACTGTATTGGCTAGCAAACATTTTCAGCTGTAAGGATTTGTTGAGAAAAATAAATACAACTTTGGGAGTAAGATTTTCAACTCTTAGTTTTTTTGTTGTTGTTATTGTTTTTTTTTTTTCACTAAAAAGATGCTTACAGAGGGGACAAACAGGGAGAAGGATAAATGGAAAGTTAAACTGAATCTTATTACAAAATCTCACCCGCTCTGCAGACTTTGGTTTCCTAACCGCGGGAGTAGGACCTAGGTAACTTCACTGTTGGGCTTGTGTCTTTTGTTTTCCCGCTCCCCTACACTCACATGAGAGAATCCTGCCATTTTAAGTCATGCAATAACCAATTTCCTTCTTGCTGCTGGAGCAACTTGGCTGTTGAAGAATCGGGTGGTTGAGGATGAGAACACGGCAGCATGACTCATGATGGAACGTGAAACATGGCAAGCAATTACCGCGCCATTAACTTCCCATCAGTCTCAACAAGAGTACACGAAAACAGGTTTGTGGGGTTCAGAGAGAAACACCAGGCAAACATAATTTGGCTAGTGATGGCTGATGGAGATTTATGAGAGTGAGGATTTGCGTAAGCAACTCGGTGAAGGGATTCTGAGGATCACGTAGCTGGCAAGGGAATTCCGCGTATCCTGTGCTCAGTAGACAAATAGTTCTAAGAAATATCAGGTCCTAAGACACTCATTGAATTACGGCCCTGGGACACAGAGAATGCTTCAAAAAACAGCCACATTTTCATAGTAATGATAGTAATGAGCATTTCTTCGCAGTCATTTCCTTCTGTGTAGGAGTGACGCCACACTACCATCACTTCCCTCAGAACATTTTACTGCATCATTTAATACATTCTGATGAATGCCTCACAGTGTGCTAAATGCTAGAGTAACAATGGCGAAAAAAATAAGGCTAAATTACTGCCTCCTATTAGGCCAAAGTCTAATGAGAACACCAGAATCAATTGCATTGTAATCCTACTAAGTGGAAATTTGTAGCTGTGATTAAATACATGAGGATGCTATAAAAATTAGGGAGAAACTATGGGAAATACAGATAGGACAATCTCCAAATATTTACAAGTTCATATTTAAGTTAAAAATAATTAATTATGGTTCTGATTGTCTATATTTTCCCCTCTCTCACACTCTATTTCGAGAATTCTGATTTCTAGCTCAATTTCCACCCATGCTCTTGAATCTCTTCTCCTTGGTGAAACCATCCCGCTTCAAAGACAAGCAATGCATTGTCCTGAAGCTCCTGACACCAAAGGCGCAGCATTTTTGCCACAGGCATTTGATGACTGTGTTTTTCAGGCAGCTTCATTTATCCTTTACCTTGTGAGCTGATTTTACTGTGTTTCCTGTGAGCTTTCTAGTCTCATGCTGTTAGCAATCAACTTTGCTACTCTTCCCTGGCCAAGAGCTAAATGGGTCCATATCTTTCTAACAGGAATCTTTTCGTGTGTGTTTGTGTCTTATTCAAAGTCTTGTCGTGATTCTTGCAATCAAATACCTTTGTTTTATAAAGAATGTTTGAAAAGCAAAGTCTATGTCAAGCGTCTCGCTGGGAAACTTGATACCTTACCAGATTGGAGGTTTTATGGATACGGTTTGTTTGAATGAGAAGTACTTAATTCTGAATTTGATGAGCTTTATTTTAAAAAATTAGATTTGTTGGACATACTAAAAATATACAATGGAAAATATAAAGTTATGGTGGCTGCCAAATGCTATATAAACAGAGATCATTTTGAATATTTCACATAGTTCAATGAGAGGTATTCTAATAATAAAACTAAAATACTCTGCAATAAATAGGGGGAGAAATGACAATTTGGATGCTAAAATATAGAGCCATTCCTACTTGCAAAAATTAGTCGCAAATATATTCTCTTGCCAGATGATCATTTTGCTTTGGAATGGTCACTGTGGCACTGCCAGAAACACCATAGCAATAATAGCCTTCATTTTGGAAGAGGTATCAATTATAGCTACAGTAAACAGCTCCCATCTCTGACCCAGGCTCAGCGTGGCTTTCCTTATATCATTCCCTCTTCTTCATAGTATCAGAACATCTTCCTACCTTCATTGTGAATGAGAGAGGTTCCTTCAATAAGAATGCCAGCTTTACAATAGGATGTTGAAGAATTTCTATCCAGTGATGCTCTGACCTGGAAACTTAGCTACACTTTCAGCTTTTACAAAATATTAAGGGTTTCTTCTCTTTTCCTGCTTCAGAAACCTTTCATTTGTAGCATTTATACTTTTGGTGATCTTAGACACCTTGGTAGACTTTTTCATGCTTATACATTTTATCTATCCATTTTAATGGCTCTTCCCAGATCTTGGCTAACCTAAGGCTTTGTTTACTTCTTTCATTCTTTTATTACTTAAGTATCCTGTTTCCCAAAGAAACCAACTCCTATGAAAAGCTCAATTTATACTTCAGATTTTGAAAATCTTAAAATGAGGGTAAAACTCTAACATGTACTTAAAATGTACTTTCTATGTAAAAGCACAAAAATATGCAGTGTTTGGCAATATCTTCAGAATTTAGTTGCTTTCATCATAATTCACTGTAAATACTGTCAGAGTGTTTTGCAATAAAAATCCATGCATAGTAATATTCCTTTCCACTCAGATTAGTATTATTTATCATTGTTTTGAAAGATTCATGAACCTCTGTCCTAGATGACCGCCAGACTGACCACATGTGCGTATTCTCCCAAGCAGCTTAGTTCTTTACTTCTTTATCATTTTTCCTTAAAAAACATTTAACAAAAACAGCAACGACAAACAACAGCAACAACAACAAGACCCCTTTGAGTGTCAGACACTCAGTTTATACTTTTATAACAAAAGAAATGCACCCTTTGGAACCTGTTAGTAATTGATATTAGAGAAATAGTGATGTGTTGAAAAGCACATTCATTGTAATTTGGAAAATTTTTAAAAATGAGATTATCAGGTAACCTGATGTCTTAAACACGTACTATAGCCTAAGAATTCTTGAAGAACTTTTAAATTCTTGGAGTATGCCAAGTCTGATAGCTCTAGACCTGTGGAAATGCCATCAACTTCAAGTTTCATGGCCTGAAGCAGAAATCCGGTCTCCCTGTGGTTGCAGATTCAGCAATGAGGCCTACTTGCTAGGCTATCATGAAGATTTCACAAAGGATGTAGAACACTAGGCATGTGACCACATAGACAAGAGTCACCTATGAGCAGGCAGCCATTAGGGTCATCCTAATGCCTCATAGTAACTCTGGGAGGCAGCAGCCATCACCTCTACTTCATTGGCTAGGCGGCTAAAGCTCATGGAGGCAGTTTGCTCTTGCAAGAGATTGATGTGGGAGAATTGTCTGTATTCTGTCAATCATGTTTTAAATAAATGCTGATTGGCCAGGCAGGAGGTATAGGCGGGAAAACCAGACAGGAAGTGGAAATGATGCAAAGAGAGCAGGAGAATTCTGGGGAGGAGGAAGTTAATTCCTCCCACTCCTGCCCAGACCACCAAAGCAGCAGGATGTAAGCTGCCCCACTGAAAAAGGTACTGAGTCACATGGCTAACATAGATCAGAAAAAAGGGTTAATCAAGATGAAACAGTTAGCTAATAAGTAGCCTGACCTAATGGGCCAATCAGCATTATAACTTACAGAGATCTGTGTGTGATTTTTCTCTGGGACTAAACAGCTGCGGGGCCGGGCAGGACAAAAACCCAAACAAGTCATCCCTTCATGTTACAAGAGATAAGTGAGTCTCCAAGTCAGTTGGGCATGCTGCTATCTTAGATGTATTCCAGAGATTCAGAAAGCATCCTGCTAGAGACTGCTGAGGGTTTTAAATTAAGCTATGTTCAGATGGGAGAAGAGAGAACTAGGAAGGTTTACGCATCCTTCATAGCAGGCCCTACCTCTCTAGATACCGAGTAGCTGAAACTATTTTGCAGTACTGCAATGATGTTTCCAAAGTGGGCGCTCCTGGTTCT